CTATGTTATTCAAAAACATTCCAATGCTTTAATGACACACAGGCTGACAGCTAAAAATGATCCCATGCCCTAACTGCAAACACCTTAAATTTCGCGGATTCATGTAAAAGCCTCCCGTCGCAATGAAAATAATAAAAATAAACCTCTGGAACCAGGGTAGTAAAAGCCGGGTAAAAAACTACAATATTTATTTTCGTGCATATTTATTTATAATAGAAACACGTACTAGACAACTAAAACTATATATTGATACACAGTGTATAACAAGAGTTATAACTCTCTCACGAATCAACGCATAATAGTTTGATCATGACTTTTTCATTTTAATCTTCTATTAATAGTTAACCTATAAACCTTAATATTTCTTATATCTTCACACCAAACTCGGGTTTATATAAAGCGCTTGACCTGTTAGACCTGTTTCGTGTCAGAATATTTGTTTACATTTTGCTTCAAAACACGTTTGCTTTGCTTAACCAATAATAGATTGCGAGTAATTAGCGATAGCCAATGAGAACCGCTTATTAGACAGGATGTTCGAAAGTTGTAAATTTCACACCTGCAAATGCGGACTGCAAACTGCAACTGTGCAAAGACCGTTTTAAATATTCCTCGTCAGTCATCATGTCGGTTGTAAAACTCTATCTACGAAAATATAATACTGAAGAAACTATTGGGACATTGTCAGACATTACCCTTCAAACATCCCTAGCAGAAATAAGAAAAAAAATCGACAATGCGAAGCTGTTTCATAGTGATTACTGTTTTGTAGTGTTTGCAACACCATTAAACCGAAAACAGGAAAAAAAATATCTTGCAGCGCAATGCGTTAGTAAATCCGACCAGACACAAACGTTCTTTTGTGACCTGCAGATCACTGAAACAACAGAGAATGACACAACAAGTTCGACGACGACGGTTTTAGAGACAGAGTGTGATACACAAGTGTCGACCGAAACTATATCTGGATATGATGGACATGATGGTGAGCAAGATCTGGAATCTGCAAGTGTATCCAAGGAAACAGAATCAAAAAATCTAATTGCTGGTACAAGTGGTAGTCAAATATACAGTGACAATGAAATCGAAAATGCGACTGGATTACTAGAAAAGGAACGAATGATTTTTGCCAACAAGAAAGCAAGAGAAATTTCACGTGATCCATTCTTTGAAACTTGGGGTTTTCAGGAAAGGTGTGGTGTTATAGAGGTCCACTGGACACTGATGAAAACTAAGCTTTTAGTGAGTAACGTTCAAGACCTTGACTCAAATTGGGCAAACCTGAATGACAGAGGTCCAAATTTGAAATCTGTATTAACGAATTCTGAAAAACTCAAAAAGGCGCAGTTTTTAGCAGACCAGGGCTACAAAACATTTTCTGAAGAGATAAGTCATCATGATGGAGAAAGAAGAAGGAATGAGTTGGAGAACCAGTTTGACGTGGTTTTCACAAATTTAAAGTCCGCACAGTGCGATGTTGTCAGGTCAATCGAGCAGTACAACAAAGCTATTAATCAACAGGCAACAATGGTTTTCAACCAAAACATTGACACTGCGTCTGGGAACAAGGGCAGTGAGCAATATGGCATTGCAACAGGAGATAATTTATCAGATAGCCCACCAATGCAAGATGAACAAATGGAATTTATAGTTGCTTCAGTCAAGGACGAATATGAAGAAGATATTTTAGACTAGCAAATGTTGCAAAGGAAATAATGTTTTACTTTTAGCTTGAGCAAACAATCAAAACTATATACAATCTGGATTGTCTGGCATATTCACAGTTGTTTTTATTTTTAGAAATATAATGCACCGGCCGTGTGTTTAAAAAATCGTGCGTACAGTAAATTAACTTCCGTATGTGATAAAGATATTTTAAAACACTGATTAGTGATTATTAAATGTGAGATTTTCAAACTCTAGAAGTATCTCATGACACAGGTGTTTTGTTTATGATTAATATGTTTGTTTGTTTATGTTTAATAAATTGTCACACACGATTATTTACAGAAAGTATCAAATAATGTAAGTTAGATAATAACAAGAAAAGATAATGTTATCAATCAAAATAATAAATATTTACTTAAAAGCCTATGTGAGAGGAGGTTTGGTAGAAAACCGATTAGGCTTATTAAATTATCAAACCCCCTCTCGTTTGAAAATTAATTCGAAAGAAAACTTTCCTCGAAAAAAATAATTTGGAAAACGTGAAGGATTATTTTTGAGCGGCTTGTCTTTCAAAGGCCATATATATCGCTAGAATAGAAATCAATTTTCCATCCATATATACAACTTTTCACGCTGATTCAAACAGTGGTATTGTTGTCCTTGTTTGGCCCATAAAACCAGAGATAAAGCCTAGCAAACAGTCGATCCTGAGAGTACAAGATTAATTAATTTTCCCGCAAAAATGAATAAATTTCGAGCACGTGCAAAGAATTTTTACTAGGTGATTAATAAGGAAACGTGTTGAGGCGAAAGATACAGAACCTCTGGCAACCAGGGTATGTTGATGCGAACAAACTAACAAACTCACAGGCAGAATATAATGCGGTGCCCAAGTTTGGGCACCGCAATATCTTGAAGGACATACGGTTCAAACAGCCAATGAAAGTCATTGTTTTAACAAGTCCCTGCCGTTAACCAATTAACACTGTGATCCAGATTCTAGATCACTTCACACTATTAAGCATCGTGATTGGTGCGGTTCGATCTGAGAAACCATAGAAGTGTTCCAAAGGTTCTTCCCGCTCGTCTCCCGCCCAGCTTGAATCCTTGTGTATCCCTCATTATCCCCCTACGAGCGTGGAAGAACCTCTGGCACCCAGGGTATTGTCTAGACTGTTATAGAAAAAATTAATGGTACTTGGAATTTAATAGAGAATTGACGTAGATTTGTTCTAGGAGTTACAATGTGAAATTCATTTGCTCTTCTAGTATTATAATTATGTATTTGGTTATTTAATAGGAAAATATTTTTTAAATGTTCTGGTACAAGATTTTTTTATACAAGAACATGAATTGACATGTCAGTGTAATTTACATATGTCATTAAATTTCAATAATCGAAAATTTTTAAAGATCATGCTTGTATGAGAATCAAATGTACTATATTCATAATTCTAACAATACGTTTCTAAAGAACTACCAAACGAAACAGGTTGGATGCATACGTAGATGCCCAAACAATATTGCATTGAGTAATATAAAGTACTGTAAACAATGATTGTTTAAAAAAACAACTAGATTTACGTATTATTCCTACTGATTTTGAAATCTTCATTGACACATGACTAATATGAGATTTCCAAGAAAGTTTGTCATCTAAAATAATTCCTAAGAAAACGATTTTTTTCACTTGATCAATTTCTCTATCATTCAATAGTAGTTTCACATCTAATTCCAATAATTTTGGTTTAGGTTTAAAAATCATAAATTTTGTTTTATCCAAGTTTAAATGATGGTGTGTTGTTTCTTTTTCTCTGATAATATCTAGCTTATTTTGGCTCAATATATATATTTTTTTTTTTTTTTGGGGGGGGGTGTTAGATACGGTTTAAAATGTCTTTTGTTTACATTGCTATTTATAGTAGTTTGCGTAACATAAACATGTGCCATGGGTTAGGTTAAAGTGCGGAAGCGGAACGGATGCGGAACGGATGGGATTAAAATACGGAACGGATGGGGTTAAAATGTGGGACGGATATATGGTTAAAATGCAGAACGGAACGGATATTGGTTTTCAGTTTTAACCTCATATTCGTTCCGTTCCGTCTTTAACCCCTTTCGTTCCGCTTCCTCATTTTAACTGGCCTAACCCCATGTGCCATGTAATTTAAAAAGAAAAACGGGTGTAAATGTGGAGTAATAATTGCTGCACCTTGCAGCAAAAACTGATTTCTATGCATGTTAAGTATTTTCAATTAACATGCGTAGAAATCAGATTTTGTTGCAAGTTGCAGCAATTTTGTTGCTCGTATTACTCGAGCTTTAAAGCTTGTTTTCCACTAGGCGGAATTTTCCACGTGGAGCGGAATTTCTCTTTGTCCTTTCACAACTACATTGTTTTCAACTAAGCCACCTTAAATCACGCAGAACATTTTTAGTGAACGTTAATGGAAAACGGCCTTAAGAGTGCAGTTAGTTAATAAAAAAATTCAGATAAATCATAGGGTACCCCTGCAGAAATTTCAAACCAATTTTTGCTAACCCCCTGAGGAATTCCACATGTGTCATTTATGGGGTTACTCTGGGTGTCAGAAGTTTTCAGATTCCTCTAGCTAGGAAACTTTCTGAAGGCTCTTGAACCCAGGGTATTATCAGCTACCTTGCAAAAATTCCAAAATCAAAATTTGAAGACATTAGGAATCCCACATCAACTTTAATAGTACCCCTGAAGAATTCCACTCACATTAATAATTGGGGTACCGTAAAGAATCTCAAACCTTTTCATCCCTGAAAATTTCCAAGTTCAAAATGCTTTACCCTTAAAGAATTCCAAGCTCAAAACACTGTACCCCTGAAGAATTCCAAACTCAAAACACTGTACCCCTGAAGAATTCCAAACTCAAAATCCTTTACCCCTGAAGAATTCCAAGCTCAAAACACTGTACCCCTGAAGAATTCCAAACTCAAAATCCTTTACCCCTGAAGAATTCCAAGCTCAAAACACTGTACCCCTGAAGAATTCCAAGCTAAAAACACTGTACCCCTGAAGAATTCCAAGCTCAAAATCCTTTACCCCTGAAGAATTCCAAGCTCAAAACACCCTACCCCTGAAGAATTCCAAACTCAAAACACTGTACCCCTGAAGAATTCCAAACTCAAAACACTGTACCCCTGAAGAATTCCAAGCTAAAAACACTGTACCCCTGAAGAATTCCAAACTCAAAATCCTTTACCCCCAAAGAATTCCAAGCTCAAAACAATCTACCCTTGAAGAATTCCAAGCTCAAAACACCCTACCCCTGAAGAATTCCAGGTATCCTCGACAGGGGGGGTACGGATATTAAATGGAATAGCCCATTGCCCCTCGTATTTGTCCATAAGAGACCCCTTGTTATTGTATCATGTTTTGAGAATGAGTTCAATTTTGATATTTGTTGTTGATCTGAGCAAAATATTGATTATTGATTTGCCTACTGAGGCACACAGTATTGAACAGTCAATTGTGGTGAGTGATGCTGAACTGCCTGTTGTATGTTGTGAGTGATTTTGAGCACCTGTTGTGATGAGTGACACTGAATTGCCCCAATTGTGGCTCAGGAAAAATGTACCTGCTGACTTGTCAAATAATCTCCTTAAATAATGTTCTGGGAAGTAATTTGTGTAATTGATTACAAACAAAAACAAGGGCTTGTTAACAGTATAATGAGGAAATTAATTCCCTCTCATTATATTATTCAGCCTTGATAAAGCATATGGAGGCTTTCTGTCTGATTTGACCCTCGTGCATGTAATCGTTTGGGAATGCCTGATCATTAAGATCACAACATTTGTTGTGAAGCTTGGCCTTTGAAATCTAAACCCAAAGCACTATATGTGTGTTCACAATGTTCTTGGGATAAGAATGAAAATCAAATAAAATATTTCAACTCAATTAAATTCAGGAAATGTTAATTAACCATGGCGGTCAACCAGGTTTATACTCAGGGCATATGGCTAACATAAGCATTTAAATTCCAAGTGCATACGATGTTGACATTCCTTGTTTTTCAGACATTCTTTGGGCCTTGTACTCCCTTTAACTGTTTATAAATATACTGTATGATATTGACATTTGCAAGGAAGATCTATTGTAGCAACAATAACTATTAAATGTTTTGATGATCATGTATATGGTGTATTGAGAGTCCATATTATTAAATTAAAGTGATTTTACATATCTGTTTCACAATCGAGGCAGCAATTTCCTTGCGACAGTAATTCATAGTATAAATACTTCTATCGATCCATTCGTTTTGCACTGTTGCTTTGTCTATTTAATAGATCTCCTTTACAGTTCAAGCAAGGTTCTCAGAGCTAATTTGAAGACAATTTCAGATTTATTCAATATTTTTGGAAGAACTTTAACAGATTTTTTCATTTTAAAATAGATTTTTGTTCTTTATTTGTCGATTTCGGTGTTTATGCAATATTGACGAATATATTGTAGCTAAAGCGGATCCGCGATTGCACCCCCCTGTATCGTATTTGCTCCGATATATCACGTGACAAAATAATCCACAATTTGTGGATTATTTCACCAGCCTTTACCAGGGCCTTTGCTGCCCTTCGCCTCCTTCCTGAAAAGGCCCTGGGGACGAGGTTGTCGCCGACATTTTTGTAATTTCCCGCCTTTCTTCGACTCGCGTCATTTCGCGGGCAGTTGTCAAAAACCCTAAATGTACCCATGTTTACCCATGTCACATATTTGTACATTACTTTGAAATTGGTCTATTAAAACTGACAAAAAATATTTGGGTGTTTTAAAACAGATATAAGAATGCATAAAAATCTTGATTATACTTCTTAAGCAATTCAAATTCTATTTCTTAATAATCTAATCATAGTTTTCGACTTTTCGTAGACATTCAAAAGAATTGTATTACAGTCACTATGTTCACCCTAAACCACCTAAATGTATCTTGGGATCCCATGTTGTCATCATATATCAAAGCACTTTATTTTGGTATTGCTGTGTGAAATAATAGGTGAAAGAATCAAGGAAGGAGAGCTTGCATTGATTGATCTTTTGAACCTATGGGCTATGGCTCAATGGCTAACCTTGGATATATAACATATATTTCAATAAAAAATCATAGTTTCAAATCATCTTTGATAGGTTTCTATAAAGCATCACGCAGCACATCTACATGTCTTAAAATATATAAGCCTCTACGGTTGTGCAATAAGAAAATCATACAATTTAAATGTGGTGAGATTGCTGGACCTGATCCAGGTAAACCATTTTGGAGAAATGAACGACTCTACCATATATTTAGTCGCAGAAGCTATTTGACATATCCAAGATCTTTCATCAGAAGAAAAGAAATACTCGTTTTAATTTTTGCAGGTAAGGGTCAACCAAAAGGTCAACCTCATACCCAGGACTTCTGTGTGCTTGTGGCTCAAGGCTCTGTGATGATGTGTTTATATGGATGAGAAATTCCCATATAAACACTCAATACAGCTAGGCATGATTAACTTGCCTTCTGAGTGTCTCAATACTATCTGCTCATGTCTTTTGTTAAACCCTTTAAGTGGCAATGCACCCAGATGCGCCCTACTCTATTATTTTACTCTGTCTAATGCCAGACGGTTTTACTCATCAGGGGGAGAGTCCTGCCACTCAAAGCCTGTTAACGCTTTAAGTGGCAATGCACTCAGGTGTGCCCTACTTTATTATTTTACTTTGTCTAATGCCAGACGATTTTACTCATCAGGGGGAGAGTCCTGCCACTCAAAGCCTGTTAACCCTTTAAGTGGCAATGCGCTCAGGTGCGCCATTCTTTATTATTTTACTTTGTCTAATGCCAGATGATTTTACTCATCAGGGGGAGAGTGCTGCCACTCAATGGGTTAAATAAATATAATAATAAGTATAGAAGTGCATAGGCATACAGGACTGATGCTTTCCAGGGGACAGTTGAAAGTTTGCCCAAATTTTTATGGAGGATTGTAATGAAATAACCTGAATTTAACATATTTTCTGTTAAATCTGCCCAAATATTCTTGATTTTTCCCAGCATTTGCCTAAATTTCCATGGGTTTCTAAAGTTGGGGGGGGGGGGGGCAGTTGCTGCCCCCTGTCTTGTACGCCTATGTAGAAGTGTACCATTATGCTCCTTACATTAATAATAAAACCCAATTATGCATAACTCGTTTTCCTTAGTTGAAGAGTAAAATTATTTGGCATTAGAGAGAGTTAACTAAAAATCAAGGAAGTTTGGGTTAGACCAAATTTTCGCCAGCCTGAAATTTTTTATCGAACTGTTGTGTATGTTAATGAAAGCGAACCTGAAGTCCCCAAGAATATGGACACTTATGAAATTGAGAAAAGTGAAAACGATCTTCAATGAAAGCGAATGCTAAATTTAAAAAAATACGAACACAAATGAAAACAATCGCATATAAACGTGAACGCAACAAAAATCATGAAAGCTGATGAGTGATGTAATCCACGAAAACTGAATTGTAAATAAAACATCAGTGTGACAGTGAGATGGTCAACACAAATAAAAGTGAGTGTCAGTAAAAGCCAATGCAAGTGAAACTCGGATAAAAGTGATCATTTATATTGAAAGGGAACGAGAGTAGAGGCAAATGTGAATGAAAGCTAACAGTATTAAAAATGAACGTTTAAAAATACTCATAAAACTGTACAGTAGTCAGTAGCTTCTTTAATTTATGGATTTATGGATTTATATTTCCATGTTTCGTTGTTGAGATGAAAAAAGCAACTGACGTCATATTGATGTCATTTATAGAAAATGAGGTATACGCGAATGTTTCTTATCTTTGTTATCATGAAACGAAATTATCTCAGGATCAGTATGTTTAATACTGTAGGAAAAACAAATACGTTCTGTTTCTTTCAAGCGATTTCATGAAATAAAGCATTAAAGGCAATGCAACTACCTGAAACTACAAAAATAACTTTGAGTCTTTGACGTTTCGAGCGAAGCTAGGCCTTCGTCTGGAAGTTAGTAGAGAGTTTAATTGGCAACCGACAACGGCAACGCCAACGATCTTATCTGTCTCCTAAAAGTACTTATCTTTATTTTAAACAATCCTTACGGGAGCAATAGTCAGTCATAAAACATTCCAATCGTCTTCGAACGTTTTAACTGTTGGCGTGATATAAAATGAGCCATGAAAATTATGTACTATTTAAAACACGAGAAGGGGTGTTTTATCAGATAAAACACGACAACGAGTGTTTTGAATAGCTTAGTAATTAGTTTTAGCTCAGGGCGCTTTCCATTAACACAGCCAGACCGGTCAGAACGGTCAAATTGTTGAGTGGAACACAAAACATTTGGGCTTCAGACCTGTCTGACCGGAAAATTTAGATAACATTTGAATGAGGTCCATTTTCGCTAGAATTTGAGAAATATAGACCAGCTCTTTCCATTGATACCGAGAAAAACAATTTGGGTCTGACCGGTCACGCCATTAAATGGAAAGCGCGCTTAGTTTTGAATAGCTTAGCTTGAATAGCATTAATAAAGAATACTAATGAAGATGAGTTTTATCAGATACACACGTAAAAACGCACATGTTGTAACAAACCTGCAGCAGACTTGTAGCAATGCTGTTCCAACAACTTGTCAACAGGATGTGTTCACACTGCTTGTTGCCAGCTTGTTGACAAGTTGTCAACGGCTTGTTGACAACTTGCTACAAGATTGTTGAGCTCAACAGACTTGTTACAAGTTGTTCCAACAACTTGTTATCGTCCTGCAATTCAACAATTTGTCAACAAGTTGTGAATGACGCAACTTGATAAAATAACTGCATTGTTACAACTTGTTAGCAAGCTTGCCACAAGTCTGTTGCGAACACATCTTGTTGACAAGTTGTGAGATTTTCACGTGTGTATAAAGTCACTCCACGTGACATATTATGGCTGACATGATTTGCCACAAGGTTTATGAATTATTAATGAGTTTTTAAGAAAATATAACGTAACAGTTTGAACAACTCATGGCGTATTGGCATATTCAAGCAGGGTGCGAATTCGCGTTAATCGCGTACCTACGTACCGGAGGTACGCCAATATTACGGCCTGGTACGTCTTTTTTTTTCCAGTCGCGTACCACTTAGGTACGCGGTACTCTTCCCATCTGCGTACTTAACTTTTTGCTGGTACCATTTGACCTTTCCAAGCCCAAGTTATTCAAAACCATAATTTAGTCGGAATATGTGCAAGACTAGTGTATATATAGCATGATGAGATAGGACTAAGGAATGTTAGAATCGAGCGAAACAACATGTCTCCGTTGCAATAATTCCTCTGAAAATAGCGTTCCTAGAAGGTACGGATAGCTGTTTTTTTACGTCACTACGGAAAGCTATCCAGTACAGTGAAACGTAGCCTTAAATTCGAGGAATAATTGTTGTCAACCATTTGTTATTGCGCGCATGGTGGGACACAGGGACGCCGGAACTGGGGGGGGCAGGAGGGGCAGCCGCCCCCGTTGCCCTTTACCAGGAGGGACAAGGGGGGCAAAGGTGCCTTTTCAATTTAAAGGATTGCCTTGGCGAAATAGCGAATTGTCGGAAATGTTAGTGCAATTCTTTTACGAATTTGCTTCAGAAAACGCAAGAAATGCAGTCATGGAGCTTCAAGAATAGCACAATCGCCTGGCGGA